TGATCAGTGATGCGTGGCTGTCTTGGCCGACGGTTGGGCTGTTGACGGAATTGTCGAAATACATAATACAAAATAGCGAAAAAGCAAAATACGTATTTAAAATTGTTGAGTGAAACATGTATTTTCTTAGATTGAAAGTAGTTCGTAAAGTGGCGGTAAGAGACAATAATTCTCAACATTTATTCATTCAGAAAGATATTCAAAGTAATGCGTAATGTGTGCTTTCCAATGTGTTTTGTAAATCAGTGGTTCAAATTGTGATGAAGCCTATATGAAAATAATGTGTTAAGTTAAAAATGGGGACTGTTATTTTAGCAGTTTTTATAATAGCACGTACAAGTAAAGCAGCACAATGAAGTGTATTTTAGTTAAGTGTGTATCGAAAAAGAGAACTGTCGCAGTTACATCGATCTGTCATAAGTATCTTTTTTAATGTTGGGTAAGTTTTTAATTTAACTTTTAAACATTTAACTTTTAATTTATTTTATGTAATAATATCACAATTTTAAAAATGTAATGCATCTCTGCAAACTCCTCAGGTGTTGTGATTTTATGACTTACTTGTAAACATATACTTTCTTGTCCATATGGCAACACAGTGCGTCGAATTAACTGAAATCCGGGCTTGATCCGGGTAATTGGATGTAGTTGGCAATATCTGCCGGCGGTTCTCAAAATGTTGCGATTAATTTTTTTAAATTTTCAAAGTTAAATAACTCGGTTATTTTCAATTTATTTTAAAAATGGTAAAGAGAAAATATGTTTATTTTGACCAGATCTACCACCCCTGAAAATATCTGCACTCATTTCTGGGACACCCTGTATTATATAGTCAATACACGGAAAAAAAGCTAAACTGGCTTAAAGATTATTAATCTTGAACTAACGATATGCTAGTTTGTCCATTCCGCAAATCTAGTTATACTTCTTTTCAAGAAAACCTTATCCTTAGAAGCTAAGAAAATTTATATTTTATTTAAGATTTACCTAGTATTGAAATTAAGATTATAACTACACTGCAGACAATTCGAGATAAAATCTTGTTTCGAGTATTAGTCTCTTTCGAATTACTTATTTGTAAATTAGCAAATTATTGCATTAAGTATAGAAATTCTTTGTGTACATGTAATAATTACTTTATTCAAGTGTATAATATCACCTACTATAAAATAAAGCCTCTTCTTATTTTTAGGTTAGTTACTAGACGCGCCGACTAGGTAGTTTATAAAATTATAAAGTTTTTTTGTTATCGTTTGTGCTTGTGATATGTGAAAATGGAGGACCTTCTTCAGGCCTGGGAGATGACGATTTGATCCCAAAATTTCAAGGTAAGTTTAGCAATAATCCTACATTATTTGATGACATTGGTTGGAGGTTAGAGGGACTCCATTTTAATATGCATTATTTCTTATACACTGGTGGCAAACTAGGTATGTACGCGTTTGGAATGATTCAATTATGTTTTAACAATTTTTATTACTGTCTCTCTTTTTAATTAGCGATGCCGCTGTCCAATATCTACCTATATTGGGAAATGACACAGTTTTATTGTATTTTCTTTTCACGAAAAGCATATAATTTGGTAGGTGATGTTAGGCTAATCTAATTTAAAAAGTATTAATTCGGGGTTATTCTGGTGATATTTCAAAATTCCATACCTATTGTTAAATGGAAATTAAGAAAATATTTTACCAAAACAAGAGTTTCTAACAAGATCGAACCCGAACCTCCAAAAGCATAGGGAACACGTTACCGAATTTTGTTTTAAATAAGAACTATATAGTTTTTCGATCCCGGTTAATATTCGTCCTAAGAAAAACTAGTTTATCCTAAAATCGGGTTTGCCCGGTAACATACATGAATATAATAGAGTTGGGACATGCTAAAAATTTTAATTTCCATTTCCAATAGGTATGGAATATTGAAATATCACCAGAATAACCCCGAATATGGTTAATACTTTTTAAATTAGATTAACCAAACATCACCTACCAAATTATATGCTTTTCGTAATAAGAAAATACAATAAAACCGTGTAATTTCCCAATATAGGTAGATATTGAACAGCGGCATCGCTAATTGAAAACGAGAAACGATAATAAAAATTGTTAAAACATAATTGAATCATTCCAAACGCGTACATACACCTAGTTTACCACCAATGTATAAGAAATAATGCATATTAAAATGGAGTCCCCCTAACCTCAAACCAATGTCATCAAATAATGTAGGATTATTGCTAAAATTACCTTGAAATTTTGGGATCAAATCCGTCATCTCCCATGCCTGAAGAAGGTCCCTCCATTTTAACATATCACAAGCACAAATGATAACAAAAAAACTTTATATAAAGTACCCGGCGCGCGGCGCGTCTCGTGTCGCAGAGGAGAAACAGAAACCAAATGAAGATAGGAATCAGGAATGCACTGTTGCGTTGTTGCTGTTGGGGATGGTCACTTAATATAAGAATAGTAACTCTTGGAAATGGGGTGTTATTCTCGCGTCGAGAATAATATACTTATTTAAAGTCTTAATACCCCGATTTCAAGTAAAAGTTTTAAAAAAGTTAAGAATACTACTTATTATTATATAAAAGCATTTATACTTCATTTAATAATAGTTTCTTCGTTGCTAAATGATTTATTCACTTGATAGTAATACAAGTTTTTCTTAAATATAAGTCATTTTATTCTTTTTTTAGATTCAAAATTACTTAAAGTGACTATAACTATATTTAAAAAGCAAGTGTAAAAGTAAAATAGTTCCAAATATTTGTTGTACTCATGGAAAGAATACCATCCTTAAAGAAAGTGTAAAATTTTAAGTGTATGATTGTTCTTGAATATAGAAATGATTTTTTTCCGTGTATGCTCAGTATAACCAGATGTACTGAAGAAAGAAATAAGAGCAAAGGTTACCAAGAGCATAAAATATAGCGTGGGATTAAGTGGATTCAGTCCTAAAGACTGTCTCATGCCGATATGGTATAATAATACAATTATTGTTAATAGACACAATTCATTGTTGCTAAGTATAAATAGTATAACAACTAAAATTGTGAAAATTACAAATGATTATTAGATCCGACTATAGAGGCTTGAGTCTGCTTTTTCTTAATATACAGGGTGATAATGTATTCCGGAAACTTCGGCAGCATATTCTGCAGATAAAAATAAGTAAAAATGTATGTCCTAAAATGCTTAGTTTCGGAGTTACAGGGTGTAGAAGTTTCATTTTTATTTCGATTTTTTCAAATAATTTCTGAAGTAACATCAATATTTGAATGAAAATTGGTGCCTGGGAGTTTTTTGACATGGGAAATTTGATTTTGATGTCAATATGGCTCCTACTAGTAGAGGGCGCAACCTACATATTTTTTAACCGGTTTGAAGAGTAATAACTTTTCGTCCGTACCTGTATAAAACTACTGATTAAAAAAATATACATTTACGACGTTTTTTACGTAAAAAAGGTCTCTTGGTAAAAATCGCTACGAGTAATGGTTTTCGAGATATTTGGAATCGAAATTATCAATACCTGTCATCATTGACATTAATTAAACATGTTGACTAAATAGTTATTAGACTGAAATCGTAAATTTGAAATGGTTTTGTGCCAGAAGTTCAACAGAAACTGTTTTATCATCATTTTTTGCAGAAAAATGTATGATTAATTTAAAAAAAAATTTCCAAATTTATTATTTCAGTGAAATAACAACTCTATGGAAATAACTATCTACTCAACGTGTTTATTTTTCGTCAATAATGACATGCATTGACTATTTCCATTCTAAATATCTTAAGAACGGTTGTGCTCATAGCGATTTTTACAAAGAGATATTTTTTACGTAAAAAGTCACAGAGATGTGTATTTTTTCGCTCGGTAGTTTTATACAGGTACCGATGAAAAGTTATTACACTTCAAACTGGTTAAAAATATGTAGGTGAAGCCCTCTACTAGTAGGAGTCATATTGACATCAAAATCAAATTTCTCATGTCAAAAAACTCCCAGACACCAATTTTCATTCAAATATTGATGTTAGGTTTGAAATTTTGCCTACTTCAGAAATGATTTGGAAAAAATCGAAATAAAAATGAAACTTCTACACCCTGTATCTCCGAAAGTAAGCATTTTAGGACCTACATTTATACGAACTTTTTTACTTATTTTTATCTGCAGAATATGCTGCCATAGCTTCTGGATTACAATTCGGACCACCCTGTATATTTTAAAATTGCAAATTCCTGTAGGTTATATGTAAATATAATTATTGTTTGTTAAAATTTAATTATTGTGGTAATTAGTTGTAGAAAAAATGAATTAACCTAGGTTAAAAAGTATTATTATTTTATTTAATTTAATTTAGCCAGATAATTTTGCTTTCCATCGTGTTATTTTAATAAACTGCACTGAAAATATAGTGGTGCAGCTTTTAGATAACACATTGGTTTATGAAAATAAGTATAGAGTATATTCTTGTATTTTTAGAACGCCCATAATAAGGCAAAAAATAAAAGATATTCTAGTAACGCTACTGAATTCTAAGTGAAAAACTCTATAGGACTCAGTTTTCACCTTTTCGATAAGTTATAGGATAATCGAGATACAAAGGGGGTCGAAAAATGTCATATTTTCAAATTCGCCCTGTATTTCAGGAAGTAAGAGGGCAGCATTTTAGTTTCATAAAAAAGTGGTAAAGTGATGTAAAAACCGCATCTTTATATTTCTACTCATAAAGGAGGAATCCTGTAAAACACGCAAAGAAAGTAGGACAGTAAAGTTGATCTACATTATTTGGGTCTATTATTTATTAAAATATATAATAAGAACTCATAGTTTCTATAAAGAAAAATCAGAAAAAAAATATTGGAGGCCGCCATTGTATTACTTTATTTTATTACATCCTTAAAATGTCCGCTTTTGAAATACATCTCATTAAAAATTTTCTACTTTAAACGTCCTCGACAAGAATATATTTAAACGATAATTGGGTACTTACCTTTGCCGAATTTATAATAACAGAAGTCTCATCCGACTGAAGAATATTCTCCAAGTGACCCTTGAGAGTATCCTCGTATTGCGTGATTTGTATATGGAGCTGACCTTCTGGTTGGCCTGGGGTCAAGGATAATTTTGGCACAGCAATGGCTCGTTCGAAAGCCATGACACTCCACCTGTAATTTAACGTCGCTTTTATATACAGCGTGCCAAAAAATAGTGCATCTATTCGGTTCAGATGAAAATAAAACAAAAAGTTTCTATGAACATATGCCCTAAAATGCTTCACACGGCCTTGAATGGCGGCCGTGACAACCGCGAGACGGCCGTGGCGCGCGAACTAGCGAGAGGAACAGTGATAGAGGCAGTGTTGCCACAGCTACCCCATTCGGGATAGATCTACCCCTTTGTAAAAAAAATTAACCCCGCTATCTGGTGATGATCTCGACCCCGATTAAAAATAAGCTTGTGGCAATACTGGGTAACGATCTGTGCCATACGCGGCTAAGACAATTACTATAATAAACTTGATACTGTACCAACGTTGATTTCATGTATATTATCATCGATAGGATTGTAGCTTCTGAATAACGGTCTAGGTAAAGCATCTAACTCTCATCACCAGCTCAGAATTAGAATTTAGAGTTAGTAACTCGGATTTTCATTGGAGGCAATTTTAGTTGCGTCTATTTGCCCCCCCCCCCTAATTTACATAATACCCTAGCCCAGTTTGTAAGTATATGTTAACTCTGGGTTAAAAACATAGCTCAAAAATATTTAGGACAAAACTAAAGCAAGAATAACAGCATTTAACGTAATGACATAATGATTGACATAATGTACAAGTATATTTTTTATTAATCTATTTTATCTATTATATCTAATATTTCATAAAATAAAATTCGCAAAGATATTTGACTTTGCCGCTTTTATTAACATATCGAATTGAAATAGCACAGAGACTTATTTTCTGTAATATCTGTTGTATCGTCTTCTTGCACCGAATAAAATAACGCGCTTTTTTATTTCGGATTCTTTTATTTCTGTGGCGTGTTCTGAAATACAACCGGTTATACCATTTTTAATAATCTCGGAGAAGCCCAAAAAATGTTTCCAATTTGCTTTAAACGTTTTTTGAATTTTCATATAAAAGTTTTAAATGCTACGTATAATGAAACATATGAAATATCCCCTTAACGAAATGTGATATATCTCTTTATGAAATATCCGAAGTATCCCCTTAACATCTAAGCCTACCGAGCCTCCACGACTTCACGCGAAGGCGACCGGAGATTTCGCCTAAACCCCACCTTAATATGATACAACTCCGACTTACGTCGCGTCGCTACCGCACGATGAGTTAGACAGAGACAGAACACTGCCGTACGTCGTGCATCGACTCTGATAGTAGGCGATGTAGAAATCGCCGAACAAAGGCACTCCAACGGTCAAAATTATTTTGTTTTCTAACGCAGCGGCACAGTCAGCGGTCACCGTACGCCAGCGGTAGTGTTAATATACAAGACAACAAATATTAAAATAATAGTGATTATTAAAACACACTTTCGTGTATTAACAGTATTTTTATGTATTGGCAACATTAATAGTAAATAATGTAATGTAATAAATCGCTTAAATTCTGCCAAAATCTTAGGGTAGGCGCCGCCTACCTTGCCTACCCTGACGAGCCGCCACTGATTGGAGGACACTGTCATATTTATTTCAAACCAATAACCAACGAGAATATTCGTATAATTTAATATATTTAATATAATGAATTGTTTGCAACTGAGCTGTAATTTTTGTATTATTAATCTGGTAAATGATGGAGATAAACAATAATTGTGATTGATTGAAATTTTATTTTAAGGTGAAACTTTTGTTAACACTTTGAGAGTTCGGGTAGTGAATTGAATAATGACAAGACAAGTGACAGCTGTATAAAAAAGACAGCGATTTAGATTGACAATTTGGTTGCGTAAAATTTAGAGTGACAAATTTGGTTATGCAAAATATATATTATATGATCTAGACTGGTTGCCTAACGATCAACATTAATTTAAAAATAAATCCCCAACATGAATAATGAACATAAAATTCATAAAATTACAATAACAATAAACAACATAGGCAAAACATTTAAACAGACCACAGACCACACAAAACAAATTGTTGGTTAGTAGCAGTTCGACTTTTAATCTCAAAAATGAAAATCCAGTTAAAACCCAAACATCCACACTGTAAAAAGCAAAGCTACATGACCAGATTGAACGTACGTGGTCTAGAGAACAACGATACCGCCGACGCCCTCCGGGAAGCCATCAAAGAATCACTTCCACCGATAACTTCAATCTCAGTCGTGGATGCTGAACATGGCTGGACACAACTAAGAGATGCGATTCACAAAACCATCGAAGCAGTACTGGGAAAATCCAACAAAAAGAAACAACCAGACTGGTTTAACGAAAATCAACCGCATATACAGGCTTTGTTGGAACAAAAGCATAGAGCACATCAAGCCGTCACTGCAAATCCACACAATCCAAGACTAGCAGACAACTTTAAGGCAGCTAACAACACGCTCCGAAGAAACCTGCGCCAACTAAAGGATAACTGGTGGTCGCAAAAAGCTAGTCAGATTCAGGAGTATGCCACGCATCACGAGTATCGTAAATTCTTCGAGGCTGTAAAAGAAGTATACGGTCCAACTAAGCAGGCAAGATGCCCAATCATGGCACAAAATGGCGAACTTCTAAAAGAGGAAGAGCAAATCAGAAACCGCTGGAAAGAGCATTACAGCCATATCATTATCCAAGAAAACAACCTCAATATAGAAGCACTCAACATAATACCTCAGTATAACAGCCTCGATGTATTAGACATTCCAATAACAGAACAGGAAATAAAGAACTCCATAAAACAGCTTAAATGCAACAAATCAGCTGGCTCTCATGCGATTCCGGCGGAAATCTATAAGTGTGCAAGTAAAGAATTTATTGGTCATCTTAAGGCTCTCTCTGATGTCATATGGGAAAGCGGACAGGTACCTTAGGACTTTTGCAACGCGAATATAGTGAATATATTTAAGGACAAAGGAAGTGCATCAGACTGCGGAAACTACCGAGGAATTTCACTACTGGCTATCGGAGAAAAAATTCTTGCAAAAATTATGTCAAACCGCCTGCACCCATATATAGAAAAAATCCTCCCAGAATCGCAAACGGGTTTTCGCACCAACCGCGGTACCGTCGATTCCATATTCTCCATCCGGCAACTACAGGAAAAAGGAAAAGAGCAGCAGTCTAAACTTTTCGTTGCATTCATCGATCTAACAAAAGCCTTCGACTCTGTGAACAGAGATGCACTTTGGGCAATTATGGAAAAGTTCGGAGTACCCATCAAATTTCTTACAGTGTGTAAAAGCCTCCATAACAACAACAAATCAAGAGTGTCATATCATGGACCACTGAGCGATCCCTTTCTAACAAACACAGGCGTTAGGCAGGGATGTGTCTTAGCGCCTCTCCTATTCAATATATTCATTGCAGCGCTCTCCATTATAGTGGACAGCCAATTGCAGGAGAGAGGTTTGGGCATTAGATACAGATACGACGGCGGTCTGTTTAACATAAAAAGACTCAGGGCAAAAACACGTACAAAATTCATCACAGAACTTCAATACGATGATGACTGTGCTCTAGTTGCAAATATGTTACAGCAATTGCAAGAAATGTTGAACACATATACATGGGCATACGAGGCCTTGGGACTTAAGCTGAACATCGATAAAACTAAAATCATGTGCACTCCCCCGGAAGATCACAACAATGCTATAAAAATCGGAGATGAGGGTTGAATATGTAGCGGAATTCAATTACCTCGGCAGTTTGATTTCGGAAAAGGCCAATATCGACTCTGAAATTCAGCACAGGATTAGCAGCGCCTCAAGAGCATTCTGGAAATTAAAAGACAGGGTTTTCTACAATCATGACTTGAGCACAAAAACGAAACTTGCGGTGTACCGAGCGATAATATTTCCCACCATGATTAATGAACGCATTAAACAAGTTGCAACAGAGACATCTTAGGCAACTCTTAAGAATAAAATGGTTCCATCATGTCTCAAACGTATCGGTCCTTGAAAAAGCTAACTGCGAGAGTATTGAAGTCATGATTACAAAGTCCCGCTTAAGATGGGCTGGTCACGTATGCAGAATGCTAGAAAACCGCGTACCAAAATCTCTGCTTTACGGTGAGCTTGTAGATGGTAAGAGGAGGCCGGGTGGACAACTCAAAAGGTTCAAGAATATTTTCCACGAAAACTTAAAGGGAATTAACAAGCAGAATGAGTGGGAAGAGGCAGCTCACAATAGAACGGAATGGAGAAGAATTGTAAAGTTCAGTTAAGAGCGACAACCAAAAAGTAAAAAGGCAACAAAGCAATGAGATTTTTGAATGTCTGGAGTGCGGTAGACAGATAATATCACCTATCGGGCTTTTCAGTCACAGAAAAGCTCATGAAAGAAAACGCCTTGCGTGACCATCTTCTGATGCGTGCATTATATTTGTGCGTGCGTTATTTGTATTTGACACGTCAAATACTCGTCAGTGAGTAATGGCGGTATATAGTAGCAGTTAGTAGTAGTCAGAGATATAGATGTAGTAGTATTTTGGTTTAATGGCCACAGCCATTCGACTGGGTAATGGAATTATCGTTTTTTAATAAAAATTTAAAAAATATATAAGATTATAAAGCTAGAATTAGGATACGGCTTTATATTAACTCTATTTTTTTTGAAGTTTATAAAAATCATTCATAAAAAAATATAAATCCTTCAAATTAATAGCTGTTAGTAAGAAGTTTCAATTTAAATTGGCATACACAATTTTTTTTATTCTGTGCTCTTATATGAAATGGAATCCTGGACCCTGAAAGTAACTACAATGAGGAAAATTAAAGCCTTTCAAATGTGGTTATTTCATCGGATGCTTAAGATATCTTGAATGGAGCATGTCAAATGATTCCGTATTACATCGCGTAAAGCTAGGTTGACACGGATAGTGAAGCACGTTCGTAGCCCACACTTTCGTGGACGACACCTCATGTCAACGGTAGATTCGTGAAAGAAGAATCGAAATGAATCAAGACGAAAGACGTCAAGATTGTGAATAAGCAAATCAAACGTGTTAGATATTTCACGAACCAAATCGATAGTGAATAAGAAGTCGCAGAAAAAAGTTTGAATGTTTAATATATGATTATAAAAATTAACTTCATCTGCATAACAAAACCATAATTAAAATAAATACAAATTGAATTTTTATATACAGTAATGACACTCGCAACACGGAAATAAATTAGAAATGTTTGATGAAAAGACGTAAAATAGTAAATATCAGTAACTCTGTGAAGAGATATTGACATGAATGCCACAATTAATTATTTCACTCGTCTTTTAATGTCGTAATATGTGGCACATTAGTGTACAACCTTCCACAAACGAAACTTTATAGAACACTGGCACGTTTGCCCTGTAAACAGCTTATGATCGATGGCCGATTTTCGTTTTTCACGAATGGCGTTTTGGTACTTTCGTAGCTCACGAAATTGAGACGATCGTGCTTCATTACCCGTGTCAACCTAGCTTAAACCAAGAGGGAGGGCTTCTAAATATAAATAAAGAAAGGGAAATTCGTAAAGTTTGGCATATTCTCAGGAACGACAAGTACGAACTACTACACATTATCATTAGAGGTAAAATTAAATGAACGCCATGTACAGGCAGAAGAGACATGTCGTGGATATAAGAGATTGGACAGGAATGAGTGTCCACATGAATGAAAGACTCGTCAGAGCAGCAAAAAGAGGAGAAGAATTCACTGTGGTTATCGCCAATCTTCGCTGACAAGAGGCACCTCAAGAAGAAGGTGCATGAAAACTGAATCATCAAATTGTGTTAACTAATTTATTGCAAACTTAATACAAAGCTAAAGCTATTATTTGAAAAAAAATGTGTATATTTACCTGTCTAGCATTTTGACGCTAGCTCTTTCGTACTTTTCTAGTAATTGCGGTAAGTGTGCGTCTGAGTCACAGCTAGCTCCCCAACCTAGAACTCGAGCCAGGTCATTTCCGGTACCTAATGGAAGAACTGCCACCTGACATTGTTTCTGAAAATAATTAATAAGAATAACAAATTAAAAGCAATAAATACGCTAATAAAGGTACAGCATAGACATATTGTATTAAAAGTGTATTTAATCAAAATTTGATTGGAAAAATTTGTCATTATTTAATTCTTGTTATTATAGCAGTCTACACAGATGCTTCCATGGCTTCAGGAGGCACAGGAATAGGCATATTTTCAGGGGAATTAAACATTCAACGATCTTTAAGTCTCCATTTCCACTAGTCCGAAAAAGTAACAAAATAAGCGTTCGGCATTTAACGTTTTATGTAAAACTGCCTAGGTATTTTTAGACAAATGAAGAAGGAAATTAAAGATAAAGGATTATACTATATCCGTGTTGTAGCACATTTTTAGACAACTTGAAACATCAACAAAATATTCCTTATGTATGGATTACAATTTCTCAAAAATAAAGACAATTTAAAATTCCGTTACAATACGGAAATAGATTGAAGTTTTGTAATTACAGTGATATATAATTTATATGGTTTTGTAGCAAATTCTCCTTTGAGTGTGGCCTAAACATGACAGGATCGTATATAATATATTTCCTTCAGCCACACACCCGCTTTATCCGACCACTGAGACCGACCCGAACAGTAACGCGTAATAGCACAGAATAATAATAATAATAATAAATTGCTTTATTTAAGGAAAAATAACAAAAATACATAATACTCCTTCTTCAGGCAAAATCTAGCTATAGCTACTCTACTTAAGCTGTTCAATGAAAAAAAAATTATAAGTATATACAATAGGCCCTTCGCAGATATTTTTTTTATTGTCTTAAAATGATCATTTAGACCCAAAAAGCACCTCTGCAAAATATTTTTAAAATATTTAGTGTATTAATGCCGTAATAAGTGGTTAAAATTCAAATTGATGAGAAGCCCGCTAAAACGTCGACTTTGACCTCACTTACGATAGTGACGTCACGAGGTATTATTTTGTTTTGACATTCTATTGAGTTACGAGTTTCAGCGAGGTTTTTAACTAATTTTCGAATGCAGAATGATTTATCGATACTGTATGGTACCAGGTTGCAAAAGTACGACACTTTCCACTCCTGGAAAAACATTTAACATTAGCCTAACGAAGAGAAACAGCGAAAAATCTGGCTCTAGAAAATAAGACGCCAGCCTTAAGTTCTTCAAAAATCTATATCTACCTTTGTGACAACCATTTAATGTAAGTATTTATGTAAATTTGAAAAGCATAGTTAAATTACAAATTTATTTTTGAGTTAGTTGAGAAATACAAATATAAAACAATAGGAAAATAAGGAATATGTGTTCAACTAACCTCACTTTTATTTTTGTGAAGTTTATAAATAGTACTTTTTTTCTAGTTGGAGTAAAATATGGCAAATTGTATGGAATGGAAAATGGTGTATGTTCAAAAACAAATGAAAAAGATGTAGTTCCCCATAAGTTTTTGCTTGTCAGCAAGATAGAAAACAGACTTATCCCCAAACTGTACGAATGGGTGCTATAAAGAGGGCAAGTCAAAGTATTATTCAAGATGTTTTGTGTGAAGCCAGTACTTCAAAATCTGATTTACCCATAAAACAAGAAATCCTAGAAGAAATCCTTTATAGGATAGGCATCGTAGAGCCAAACTGGGCTGTTCAGGATATTTTTTTTATTTGAACCTTTTTTTTTGTGATTTTGAGTTTTACTTAGTTGCACGCGTGAGTTTTGACAAGTAATTCTTTGCTTTTTTGTTGCTGAAATTTCCGAATATTTCAGTAGAACGGCAGACTTTATTCGCTCGTGGTAAACTACGTTACCGAAATCGTACCTCGTGACGTCACAACCAATGGTGTAACGTTTTCGTGTGACGTCAAATTTAAAGGTCCCGGGTGTAGTTTATAATCGAAATTTTGAAATAATTTGCAATTCTTTTTGGAAATAACATCGTGGAGGTGCTACGTGTTGTATTTATAAAGGTCTTTAAGTAGTTTTCAAGTGAAAATTAAAGTATGTGCAAGTAGCCTATTATAGTTAATTAATAATTAATTAGTGAACTAATACAAAAATGAAATATTTATAATAAAATAAATTTAAAAAAAAAACAACATCTATTATGACAATAAAAACCAAAAAACATTCAAAAACAATCTTAACAAAATGTGACATGGGCGGGGAAGACGTCAAATCGTTGGCTCAGGTAAACTATCTAAGCTTCTTCCGAAATGTGCTTAGAGATATATTCTTAACATTATTTTCAATATTATTGAACAATAAAATTGCATTATATTGATATGAGCGCCGAAAGAGAGAGTAGTTGTAAACAGGAAATTCTAGTTTATTTGGATATCGTAACGTTCTGTTTACGATGGATATCGTAACGTTCTTTTTACATCACATCGAAATATGAAGGTGTCTTTGTGGAAACTATTTTTTGTGTAAAATTACATATCTGATACTTATACATGTTATCTATTTTGAGCCATTGTAGTATATTTATTTTTTCATAAATATGGTCATACTTCCGCAAGCCAAATACAAACCTACAACATGAATTTTGCAGCTTTTGCAGTCGATTTTTGGAATTTTTATCTAAACAGTTATAAAATGAAGAAGGTAATAGACTATTAAGGCTATCGGATGACTGTAATTTTCTAGAAGCAGAGGTTATCGCTATAAAGGAAGCAGTCAGTTGTATAGGAGATATCGTGATATACTCTGACAGCTTGAGTGCTTTAAAAAGCATCACCATACAATCGGTGAGATCGAAAACTGTGATGGACTGCCGAAAGCACTGTCCTGGCAGCGCCACGGCGGGGCCACACTGTGCTGGGTGCCAGACCACCGCAATGTGGTGGGAAACCAAGAAGCGGACAGACTCACCAAAGAGGGGGCCAGGAGAAAGGCCGTGGCAGAGGACCCACCACTTGTGACGATCAACACACTGTAGGAAGCTATAAGACCTACTATCAAGGCCAAGCAGCAAGAGACGTGGCCATTTCGCAAAACATTTCTGGAAAAATAATAGCAGAAGTAAACACAAATATAAGCCCGTGTTATAAAAATTAGTTCCCACCGTTTCCTGTAATAGATCGAGACGCGCCGTGATTGGTTGTTTGTTTTTTATTGTTAATCCAGATTAACAATAAAAAAACAACCTAACCTAACCTAACAATGACGGCGTCTAATCGTCTAATTATTTAACTCAACACCCTGAGGACTGCGCTACAGCTCGAATACTGTGGTCAGCAAAAATACAAAACGACTACTAGAGCACAAAAAGAACCTAGTGCGCATGTAATTGAAGGTTTCGTCACAGCACCACGGGGGTAAACCTCGCGGTTTCCAACTACGACTACTGCAGAGAATGCAAAAAAGAAGGAGAAACCATAGAGCACCTGCTATGCCATTGTCCGGAACTGTTACGTCACCAAATTCTCTGCCAGACACCAAATCTCTGCTGTTTCATAAATAACATAAAAAATAGCACATAAAAAATAGCACAGTAATGTGAAAGCAGTATCTTTGTACCAATTACTAGTTAGTGAACCCTGTAAAACACACATAAATGGGACACCCCGTATACTTTTATACGGATAACAAGACATCGTATTATATTTCTATTTGAAAAATATTAGAGAAAGATACCGACCAAAGTTTTAACGAGGATAGATAACGAGTAGCAAAAGAAACTCCAACCACATGTCTCTTTTCGAAAGTCCTACGCTTGTATTTATTTTGTCACAAACGAAAATCCTGAAGAATGGGACATATTAAGCTCGCCGAAGGCAAATCCCTATTTAAAGGCAATGGCGTGTAAGAAGAGAAATATTTGGATAATCCCCGATATGAAATGACAGTGGCTTAACCACCTCTAAAGACGACACAATATGAAAAGGGAGCTATATTTCACATCTCCAGGACTTCCGTTTAGACGGAAAATATATGGACGTAATTCAGTTGAAAAATACCACATATAGTAAGACATTACGTGTATAGGATTACCTCGACATTGTTGAAAATGTAGTATAATAATTATGAAGATATAAACTTGGATCCCAAGTTTATGTCTGCCCCGCCTTTTTTTGGACACATTTTAGGTAATGTTTCTAATAATTGTGTCTCTGTTTCTTGACACAAAATGGAAACGAAATTCTATAAATAGGAAACATTTCCAAAACCTATATATTTTATAGGGCTTTATTACATGTGTTTCTAATGTGATGGCACTAGCCGTTTCCTGAAATGTTTCGATGCGGAATCAAAATTTTAGAGGAAATGTTTCGAAACGTTTTCTGCAATTTGTGTCCAAGATTCCGTCTTCAGCAGCCACTGTTTCTAAAAGAAACAAAATACCAAACTAAAATAGTCTATGTCTGTGTGTGGATTTCAAAATGAAAACAACGGAGTTAAAATATTTGTTTTTAGGTTTTCTCGCACAAAAAATGTCTGGCAAAAGCAAATTGACCGTTTAATTTAATAATGTATTTTCATATTTCTAATGCCCCTTCTATATATTATTATTTATTGCTACAAAATATTTTTGTTTTTATACCATAGTTTTGAAAATAAAAATATATAAATCAATGTACGTGGAAAGCGTTCTTATGAGTTTAAAAGCTCAACAGCCGATAAAAATATATATTTTTAGTTAAAAACGCTATCACTAGCCAAAATGGTGGAATTTTAATTCATTATTTTAGAAAATTGACATGGGAGTCGGACACAACTCATCTAGATTATAAATATCTTATTTGTGTCTAAAAAGAGAGAAACTCATGTTTCGAAAACGAATCGACAATAAATGGAAACCTTGTTTCCAAAATGCTTCGATATAGCGCTATCCGTGTAGAAATTACGAACTGGTCACCTGTCAATAGCGCCAATCAAAACTTCTGGTCAAAATATTTAAAACATCTTTATTTACTTATTATAACACAACTGAAACATAAAAACATGTATTCCATTGTGGAAAAAAGAGAAAAAAAAAAGTTTGCTGGTTACATTTTTC